CAGATCCTCTTGCATGCAGAGTTATGATATCTGACAGACTTATCTGTTTTTCAGTCGGGGGGGGGGGTGAGCTGCCACAAGCTCAAGTACTTGTGTGTGTACTCCAACAAGGTTACTTTTAAAGGTTTCTCCTTTCTCCAGAAAGCAAAATCAGCGTCGTGATTTATCTAGGACAGGTACCAGAAGACAAGGGGTAATAAATAGGGGGGGGACTGGATTATATGTATGTCATACTACTCTGTAGCTTTGGATTTCGCAGTCTGCCCCACAAACCCCCCCCCCAAAAAAAGATGCCCATACTTTGTCATCAAGGAAATGTTCTTTGACTTGGTGTAGGCAGCCTTGTCTTAGTTTTGTGTGAAGAGACAGGCTTTCAAAGAATTTGAGGATTTTGAGCTGGAAGGTCAGAAATTAAGGGAAGGAACTAGGAAGGGGGAGGAGGGGACAAGCAGCCAGGGAAAGTCGAGTGAGTCTGTGCAGAGTCCTGAAGGTACCGAAAGAGCAGCGCTGACCTGGATGGCCCAGTCGAGCCCAATCTCCTCTAGCCCTATCTTGGAAGCCAAACAGGGCTGGCCCTGGTCAGGATCTGGGTGGGAGACCACCCGGGAAGTCCAGGGTCCCCACGCTGAGGCAGCTGAGGGCAAGCCACCTCTAAACGTCTCTCGCCTTGAAAACCCCAAGGAGTCACCATACGTTGGCCGTGGCTTGATGGCGAAAAGCCCCCAGAACAACCCCTGAAGGTTTACTCGATCTTCACTAGATCTCTTCTGTGTTATGAGGTCCATCAGTGGCTATTATTCAGAACCTAAAAAGGTTAGTCAAGGATAGAAGAGGACCAACTCTAAAAATCTAATTATGAAACATACAAAAATATACATGTATTTATTCAACACAAAATAACAAATAAGGTCCCATTCATACCTCATATACAAATATAAAAACATACAAAGGCTAATGAAATAGACCTAACGCGTTTCGGCCTTTACAGGCCTTCCTGAGAGGTCTAATACAAATAGAACATGCTGGCTGATATGTAAAAATATATACAATCATACATATACAAAATATGAAGTAAAGACCAGAAAACAATTGCTGTAAAAATAAAAGAAATAGAAGATTAGACACATATACTACTAACAAATACATTATAAATATATTACCAAACAAAAACCCATTGACTTACTTCCAAAGTTTAACCACTGGGCAAAGAAAAGAAATACAAAAATACCAATGAAGCCTCCAGTGCGATCACATGTCCAGTAGTACTTCTCTAGAAACAATAAAAGTGTATGAGTCAATGCATTAAACAACTAATAACCGAAAATAAACAAAGAAAAATGAAAATAGTCACCTCTGGTCAACTATATATTCTCCTGAGATTGTACAGCCAAATGTTCCCAATAAAATGTTCCTTAGATTAAAAGCAGTGTTGATTAAAAAGGTGTTGGGCCTATATATAGTAGATTCAAGATTATACATTAGCCACAAGGTCCATCAGTGCAGAGTTATTAGCCACAAGGTATAGATAGGAACTCTCGGTCTGGGGCAAGGGATGCTCTGTATTCTTGGTGCTTGGGCGGGGGGGGGGGGGCAACAGTGGGAGGGCTTCTAGTGTCCTGGCCCCACTGGTGGACCTCCTGAGGGCACCTGGTATTTTTGGCCACTGTGTGACACAGAGTGTGGGACTGGATGGGCCATTGGCCTGATCCAGCATTGGCTTCTCTTGTGTTCTCATGAGTCACGTTCAGCCTTACGTTGGCCAGGATCTAAGCAGAAGTGAGACTTCTGTGATGACAAACTTCAGTTCTAGATCTGCTCTGCTGAATGCCTGTCCCTGACCCTTCTGATTGTGTATTGGTTTAGCCACGTGTCTTGTACCAACTGGACCGGATTACTCCAACCCAGCTGGAGAAGTTTCTGGAGACCTGTCGAGAGAAGTACATGAGGTACGGAACTCTTCTTGCGTGTCGGCTTTTGTTCTTTTCTTACCCTCCCCCAGTGGGAACCACCTTCTGGGAAGTAGGGAGTTAAATTGATTGGCCAGATATGAATATAAGGCAGGAAGCAAAGGAAGATGTCTCCCCTTCCGGAAAGGGGTGCGAGGGTCTGAACATAAATGGCCTTTGATTCAAGGCCTTCCCACAGTCTCCTTTTCCTTGCTTGTGCGTTCCTGTCCCTGGGCTGTTTTTTTCCCCTGTTTCACGTATGTTTTGCTCTCTCTAGTAGTCCATTCGATATCAGCATATCTCTCCACAGATTTAAACTGCAGGGTTTTATGCCAGCCATAAAGCGATCAAAAAAAGGGGGGGGGAGGCCAGTGTACAGTACAAGAAGCAAAACAAGAAACACCACTGACTGAAAATAAACAAGTATATAATAATCATATAAGCATAACATCAAGTATAATGTAAATCATTTGGCCAAGGTGCAGTAATGAAACATATAAGAAGCAGCACCATCTATAGTCTTTCCATGTGTCTTGCTCCAGCACAGAAGCAAATATCAATTATCAAAGTCCAAATTGAAGTATATATCATCATTGAAGTGTATATCATCGACGCGTAATCCGGATTCCTGATGCCACGTTTCGAATAATTCTTATTCAAGCATTGCTGTAATGGGACTAAATGCAAATTCAAAACATATACGAGTGAGAATACATACAAGATATAAATATATAATGAATTAGGAGCTGCACCTTCCACACTTTCACAGATAAGGACACCCCGGTAATGTTCATTTCAAAGTTTATTGCCCAAGCCACACCTCCAGTTACTCCGTGTTGCCAAGTTCCAGGTGGATCTCCACCTGATCTCCAGATTACAGAGATCCCTGGAGAAAATTGCACCTTTGGAGGGTAGACTCCATGTCATCGCATCATGCTGAGCTCCCTCTGCAAATTCCAACCTCCCCAACCCCCCCCCACAAATCTTCAGCAATTTCCCAACCCAGAGGTCATTTGCTTTCTCTCTATTTTACCGCTTGATGTCAGATGGTTGATAGGTTTTATTAGAGGGCAAAAGAACAGTCACTACTGATCGGGGTGATTATCTAGGAGGCGCTTGTTGGGTTTAACGGCAAAGGAGCAGAGGATGTTTTTTAAATTTTTTATTTAAAGTTATCGACCACCTTCCCCGGTGAAACCACGCTCAGGGTGCTGTACAATACAGTCGTATAAAACGTCAATAAAATAAATTAAAATTTACGTAAGGCAATAAAAACGTCATAATCTGATTAATTGCTTACTGAGGGTGCTAAGATCCTAAAAAAAAAAATACTGGTGCCACTATCCCATGGGAAGCGGGAGTGCCAAGACTGAACCGTCGGTGTCCTCGACCAAACGCCTGGCGGAACATCTCTGCCCTGCAGAACTGTAAAATGCCCCGCAGGGCATGGATGTTATTCCACAGAGAGTTCCGCCAGGTTGGAACCAGGGCAGAGAAGGCCCTGGCTCTGGTCGAGGACAGCCGGACGTCTCTCAGGCCGGGGACCACCAATAAGTTTTTTTCGAGCGTAAATGCTCTTCTCCAGCTTCGAGATCTGTGTTGTCTCGTCTCCCACGGAAAAGACAACCATGCTAGGAAAAGCTGAAGACCACAAGAATAAAGGAAGACCCACGGCTATTTTTGGGCAGGAACGGTGTTCCGGCTGGCTCCCAAGTTGGCCACGCCCAGCAGGAACTCATTAGCATAATAGGCCACACCCCACAGCAGACACTCATTAGGATTGGCTACATTAGGGGTGTGTGGCCTAACGTGCAAAGGAGTTCCTGCAACAACAAAAAAGGCCCTGGGTTTTGACAACAAACAAGGTAAACAGAATAAGAAGCGAAAGGTGGGTGTGGCTGGATGACCACACTTCTGGTAACATGGGGGTGCGGCCTAATATGCTAATGAGCTGTGCTGTCATGAGTGTGGCCTAATATGCTAATGAGTTTCTGCTGTTGGGTATGGCCTATTATGCTAATGAGTTCCTGCTGGGCTTTTTCTACAAAAAGAGCCCTGGGAAGACCGAATGTGAGACGGGCGGACCCGCTCAAGAAGCCTGGTCCCTCAGGTTGCAAGAAGTGAGGAAGACTGTTAAGGATAGGACATTTTGGAGGTCATAGGTCACATGCCACTTGGCCGCACTTCCCGCACACACACACACACAGAATGCCCAACTGACCTTTTTTGTTTAATCCAGGTCTGAACCGTGAGCTGTCTGAGCTCGCAGCTGTGAAAAGCTTCCTGAATCTAAAAGTGTTCTCGCCTCTTCCTCCCAGGGCACAGATGGAGCCTGGCTCTGCCGTGGGAGCTCTGTGCGCCCAGAGCATCGGCGAGCCTGGCACACAAATGACACTGAAGACCTTCCATTTTGCTGGCGTCGCCTCCATGAACATCACGCTGGGGGTGCCGAGGATCAAAGAGATCATCAACGCCTCCAAAGCAATCAGGTATTCTTCACCAGGTTTGGGGATCTGCCTCATCAGACCCGTGGCCAGGATTCTGTGGCTTGTGGGGCAGATTTTTCTCTCCTGGTGGGGCTGAAGTTCTCCGGGCAGAAAGAAAAGCCATTTCACCAATAGAAAGCTGTTCCCAGGAGAGATCTCTAAATTGCAAGCAGTCAACTACTTTAAATGACAGTTCTCAGCTGCTGCAAGTTAATCACTTCTGCCAGCTGAAGAAACAGTTCTGAGAACAAGCCGGCAGGTGGGGGTGATGACTTCTCTAGTCAAGAGAGCTAACACTTAGGCAGGAAAACTCTCTTAGAGGAGACCAGTTTCTTGACACAGAGTTTGAAGGGGTCCTAGAGGGCCCCTACTCCAACCCCCTTGCTCAGTGCGGGAATTAGTCAGCTACAGCGTCCCACTCTGCTTAAAAGAGCACACGCCTTTTAAAAAATGTTTCAAAATGACTAGGAAAAGCATTTACAGAAGAAATGCTACCACGCTGGCACAGGAGCCTACGCCTGGGTTGCATTGAAGGGTGGCCGCTGCACCCCTACACTGAACTTTGAGATTCCCCTCACGGTAGGCCGAATGGCCCCATACCTATCTGATATACAAGCACCACAACAGCGCAGAGCTTTTTCACTAGCAAGATTCAATGCACTACCATCAGCAGTCTTGCATGGGAGATACAATAATATAGCATATACGGCTAGACTTTGCCATTGTAACTCTGGATGCATCGAGACAGTTTCACATATCTGTTTGCACTTGTCAATTTTATGTAGATGTACATTTTAGATATTGAAACTCCATTTTAGCCAATGTGACGGACCTTCCTGATGCTTTAAAAGTGCGCCGTCTTCTGAATGACTCTGCTACTGAAATATCAGTGACGGTAGCCATGTTTTTACAATTGGCTATAAAGCTACGTCAGGAAAAACTATCAAAATGAGCAACACTTTGTAACAAATTGTTTTATGTAACATTATGCAACATTATGTAGTTTGCAAAATACTTGGTTTTATATGTATGGTTTTATATGTATATTTTCTTACCTCTTTTAAGGTTTTATGCCAATAAAGGCTAACTGACTGAAAATGAGATTTTCGGAGTATAAAGTTCCAGAAGCTTCTATCCCGAAAATCTTGTTTGTCTCTATAAAGTGCTACTGGACTCAAATCCAGCTGTGTAAAACCAGATATGCCATACTTGTGTCCAGTGTTCCCTCTAAGCATTGGAGTCTTGTGAGCAAAAATTCTACTTTGTGAGCTACTGGCATTAAAGTTGTGAGCGAGCGATTTGGCTACTGGATAAATCAGTTTGCTCTGGAGCCCTCCCTTCCTGAGCGAAGGCAAAAATGTGTGAGCTGGAGACTAAAAAACTGTGAGCTAGCTCACACTAACTCAGCTTAGAGGGAACACTGCTTGTTGTGGCTACATGTAGAGAGGCTAAACTGGGAAGGCTTTTCTGACCCCGGATTTTGCTGCTTGTGCACAGCACTCCCATTATCACTGCGCACCTCGACACGGACGGCGATCCGGACTTTGCCCGTTTGGTGAAAGGGCGAATTGAGAAGACTCTGTTGGGAGAGGTAGGCTGTCCCCGCTCCCCCGCGTCACTCTCACCTTTTCTCTCTGTCGATGCCACGTTGCACACGTACCGAAAAGATGACTGTCAGACTTTTATCCCTGAAAAGAGCAAGAGCCCAGTTGCATCTTCTTTTTTTTTTAAATTTGGAGCCGAGGAATGTAATTATTAGACCTCTCTTGCATAATGTTCAGGGTCTCCCGGAAGAACAGACAGTAGTGTACCTCTTGTCGGATAGAAATCACAATATCGCCCTGCAGGTAGCTAAGTATTTGCTAGCTGCAATAAGGATCAGAAGAACATAAGAAGCCAATGTTGGATCCGGCCAGTGGCCCGTCTAGTCCAACACTCTGTGTCACACAGTGGCCAAAAAGACCAGGGGCCATCAGGAGGTCCAGCAGTGGGGCCAGGACACTAGAAGCCCTCCCACTGTTGCCCCCCCCAAGCACCAAGAATACAGAGCATCCCTTGCCCCAAACCGAGAGTTCATATAAAAACATAAGAGAAGCCAATGTTGGATCAGCCCAGTGGCCCATCCAGTCCAACACTCTGTCACACAGTGGCCAAAAATACCAGGTGCCATCAGGAGGTCCAGCAGTGAGGCCAGAACACTAGCAGCCCTCCCACTGTTGCCTCCCCCAAGCACCAAGAATACAGAGCATCACTTGCCCCAGCCTTAGAGTTCCTACCTATACCTTCTGGCTAATAGCCACTGATGGACCTCTGCTCCATATGTTTATCTAATTCCCTCTTGAAGCTGTCCATGCTTGTAGCCTCCTGTGGCAGTGAATTCCATGGGTTAATCACTCTTTGGGTGAAGAAGGACTTCCTTTTATCTGTTCTAACCCGACGGCTCAGCTATTTCATGGAGTGCCCATGAGTTCTTGTATTGTGAGAAAGGGGGAAAAGTACCTCTTTCTCTACCTGCTCTAGAAAGTTTTTATTTCTCAACGTGCTCTAGAAAAGTACTTCTTTCTCAGCCTGGTCCATGGACAGTTAATGTATGCTTTTGGATAATTTTATCTTAATTTTTATGTCACTCTTTTTAAAAGTAATTTCACTTTGCTGAATGTAAAATCTTTTTAAAATGTCCGCTTGGTTCTGGTGAGACAAACCCCTAATAAAGTTAATGAATGAATGAATCTTAAAGACTAACAAAATTTGCGGCGGGGAGTGAGCTTTTGTGAGTCACTGCTCACTTCTTCAAGTATCCAAAGCAGTGAGTCGTGACTCATGAAAGTTCCTCCCCTGCTGCAAATTTTGTTAGTCTTTAAGGTGCCGCTGGACTCTTGCTCTTTTCTTCTGCTAGAGACAGACTAACATGGCTACTCATTTAAAACTTTTGTCCCTGTTTTTTACCTGCAGATTTCTGAGTACATTGAAGAGGTTTTCCTTCCCGACGACTGCTTTATTCTGGTCAAGCTGTCCTTGGAGCGGATTAGGCTGCTAAGACTGGAAGTGAGTTTGTTCGTCTGCCGTCCATCTGGTTTTGCCAATGGCAGTAAGGTTAAATGAACATCACCACAAATAGTATTTCTGACATTGTTCAATGTATGTATGGATCTACATGTGCTGTCAAATGAGACGGGTCAAATCTGAGGAGACCTTCTCAAAGGCAAGTGGAAGGTCTGTCGTTCCGTGATTTCTTCCCCATCGCCTCCACCAAAAGTGCTTGAGGCAGCTTATAGTTGAAAACAATATAAATAGTAATTGTGTTAATTTGAATTTTCCTTCCCTTTCCTTTCAAGCGCCTCTGATCAATAGATATTGAGCAGTGACTAAAAGAGTACAACTTTAGTTTTTAAAGAGAAATACGATAGACGGGAATCTAGCAACCAATAAGGTTATATTCGGATCCCTCTCTAGCATTCGACAGGGAATAAACATCCCTGTCAAAATTACTGAATGATAAAAATGATAAAATAGGTAAAATCCATCAGTCCCTAAAAACAATATAAAAGGAGGATTCCAGTATTTTATTGTCAAACTCTTCATAGCTTGCCATAGTTATTGGGGGGAGGGAAATTCCTAGGGGGGGGGTGTATTTGTGTGTGTGTGTGAGAGAGAGAGTGTGTGTAGCACCATTGTAGTGGCTATCGTAACACTTTCCAAGATCAGCCTCTCCACAGAGATGACCTTGAAGCAAACTCTGTGCTAGCCTCACTGTCTTAGATAACGGGACTGGGAACTTGGCGTAGATGCCAGCACCTTAGGCGGGATGGCGGAATGAGATGATTGGATGAGGGGGAGACCCTCATTTGAATTGTCTATATCTGTAGAGGATACCGCCAAAAACCTCAGTTCTGACATGGTACTATTCTAGCCTGGATCATGCTGATATCTCAATAAACAAATAACTGCCAAAGAGAGTGGTGTTGGGAGTCTCTTGACCAGGACTCTGACATTTATGAGATGAAATATCAGTTTCCCCCTGGCTACCAGGACAAAAGAGGATCTGAATATCGAATATTACAAAACCTTCCACACAATACTTCAGAGGGGTTAGCGTTAAGATGAGCTGCATTTTTTGCATTTTTAAAACATCCCCGTAATCAACAGAGATGAAACTGCAGAGCGGTCGGGTTAGAACAGATAAAAGGAAGTACTTCTTCACCCAAAGAGTGATTAACACATGGAATTCACTGCCACAGGAAGTGGTGGGTGCTACAAGCATGGACGGCTTCAAAAGGGAATTAGATAAGCATATGGAGCAGAGGTCCATCAGTGGCTATTAGCCACAAGGTATAGCTAGGGGTTCTGGGGCAAGTGATGCTCTGTCTTCTTGGTGCTTGGGGGGGGGTCAACAGTGGGAGGGCTTCTAATGTCCTGGCCCCACTGCTGGACCTCCTGATGGCACTGGTATTTCTGGCCACTGTGTGACACAGAGTGTTGGACTGGATGGGCCTTTGGCCTGATCCAACATTGGCGTCTCTTATGTTCTTATGTTCTTATGAGAGCCTGGATAAACAAGTACACCTTCAGCCGGCTCTGGAAACTTTGCATCCTCAACACCAACCCAATGTCTGTGGGGAGGGTGTTCCATACTCAAGGTAAAGGTTCCCTTGCTCGAAAGCCAGTCGAGTCCGACTCTAGGGTTGCGGTGCTCATCTCCGTTTCAAAGCCGAAGAGCCAGCGCTGTCCGAAGACGTTTCCAAGGCGCACGGAATGCTGTTACCTTCCCACCGAAGCGGTACCTATTTATCTACTTGCAGTGTCTTGCTTTCGAACTGCTAGGTTGGCAGGAGCTGGAACAAGAGACGGGAGCTCACTCTGTCATGCGGCACCCGGGTCTCGAACTGCTGAACTACTGACCTTCCACAGCCTGTAGTTCAGCGTCTTAACCACTTGAGCCACCACAGTTCCTATACTCAAGGTGTCACCACAGAAAAGTCCCTGCCTTGCGTGTCCACCTGCCTTATTTCAGAGCGGGGTGACGTACTGAGTAGGTTTTCAGGGGAGAACCATAGTAATTGGGGATGTTCACTTGGGAGCTGGTGGTCCTTGAAACACCCTGGTCCCAGGTCACATGGGCCTTCAGCGGTGCAATCCTTTCTGAGTCTATCGAAGTTGTCATTATTTCGTGGAGAGCCTCCAGGACGCTTCTTACTTGGGGGAGCGTTCCAAACTGACACCCCCACCCCACCACCTCCTTCAGCGTAGAGTGCAAATACAGTCCTGAATTTATTTTTAATGTCTTTTTATTTGTCTGTTTCTGAAAATCATATATTATCTATTGTAACATCATTATGTAAATTATAATTGTGGGACACAGTAGTCCGTTTGAAAATCAGCAAACGTGCCTTCATTTCTAACTGACAAGCAGTGTTCCCTCTAAGCTGAGTTAGTGTGAGCCAGCTCACAGTTTTTTGGCCTCCGGTTCACACATTTTTGTCTCAGCTCAGGAAGGAGGGCTCCAGAGCAAGCTAATTCATGCAGTAGCCAAATTGATCGCTCAAAACTTTAATGCCAGCAGCTCACAAAGTAGAATTTTTGCTCACAGGACTCCACAGCTTAGAGGGAGCATTGCTGACAAGCCGCGCTATTTTATTGCGTTAGGCGTCCACCAAACTTAAATATCAAATTAAAGGGTGCCGACTTTCTCCTTCGTACTTTACGTTTCCAAAACCGTCACAGCACAGTTAATTTTAACATTTGCAGAGTGTCATGAAATTTTAGCAGCCACGTTTCCAAATTGGGAGGTCCGGCTCTTCCAATGCCTAGCAAAAATACTTTCTTGCCACTGTCAATAAATTTTAGCAACAGTTCCCTATGAGCAGCTGGAACCATTTTGATGCAATTAAGTTAAAAAAACCCCTTCCAGCTTCATTGGAAGAATATTGTTGAAAATACCGTGAATAGCTTTATGAGTTGTTTTCCAAAAACTGGCACTCTGCGACTTCCCTCACCGCAGTCCCGAATTCGACCACCTCATTCTACAGACTATGTAGAACAGGGGTCCTCATTGTGGACCCCGTGGGCACCATGGTGCCCAGCAACACCTTTCCTGGTGCCCTCCCCAAGTGTTTTAAGGAAGTGGGCAGGGCAGGTGGGGGTTTTGCCCAGCAAGGCTCTTGATCGGCCCATTGGAGATTTGATCGGCTGTGCGGATATTGACAAGCGTTGCTTTGGCGGCAGCTGCCACCACCGCACAAGGGTCTTCACCGTGGGACTGAAGGTAAGCTGGGGCAGCCGTTTTGCGGTGGCTTCATCTCCTGCAGCAGCCTTTCTGTGGCTGCTCTCACCACGCTATGTTAAAAGTCCAAAAGGTGCCCGCAGGCAATGCTCCCTCTAAGCTGCGGAGTCTTGTGAGCAAAAATTCTACTTTGTGAATGAGCCAGAGGCTAAAAGACTGTGAGCTAGCTCACACTGACTCAGCTTAGAGGGAACACTGGTCAGGACCAATGCTCCCTCTGAGCGGTGGAGTCTTGTGAGCAA